TCTTCGAAGAATGATTCTACGAATCGGCTGATCCACCTAGGAATACCTTTTTTTCTCAGGTTCTGTATTAGCCTTTCGTGGGAGACGTTGAAGAAGGCTCCTGATATGTCGAGACGAAGAAGTGAAGCGACCTGATTTATATCTCTGCCCAGATGTTATGAATCTATACTCCTTGGGTATGGGACGATTTAAGTATTAGAATGATACTAGAGATCTTAAATATTGCTTGACATGTAGAACGGTCCCTCATTATTCTTGATCAGGAGATTAAAGCTAGTATTTATTGATTTTTGTCATGTCTGTGCACATTACGATCTAAAGCACTTGTACGAATAATTCTTAACCATTAATTACCATATTTGGTATATAACGATACGAGGAAATATTGGTCCATTTAATCTACAGGCCAGGAGATTTCGTGCCTCGGTTCTATGATTCCTCATATTCCTCTTTCGCTACCTATTTGCTGCAATAACACTCCCTGCGGGTATTCATTTGAGTTCATACTTGATAGAGCCTTGATCCCGTCACTGTACCCCCACCCCAGCCAGCGAAACGATAGTAATTTACGGATAGGTAGCTGCAAGGAGAAAGCTCAAAAATTATGGGTTGCAGCGATCTAGTACCGATGGCAGGACAAAGTCCGATAACATAGCTAGTCTTCTGAATCGTTTGAAAAGGCCGGGCAGCTAGGCGCCGCAGACCTGTGTTTACTTGAGAGCTACTCTGTCCCTTTCTCTAACCTTTGCCGCAGGACAATTCGAAGGTCATTAAAAGATGTCAGAAAGGACTTGATGGAGAGAAATTACTGTACAGTAGCCTAGTCAAACATTTAGAAACTATTACAAACGTGGGGTTATAGAGTATCTTTTTTTGTCTAGATACCTCATAAGCTAGTACGTTCGGAAGTTAATATGCTAGATACAATTTTGTCCAAGAATCGAAACCTTCATCTCCAGGGGGGCGAAAGGATTTTAAACTTTTTCTTCATGGGATCTTGTTTGCCGATTGGAGGGTAGCACAAAGTATGATATGATGAGGGCTTCGATGACTACTATTATAGCATTTTGTACTGCGACATCTCTATTCTTTCTTAGTGTCATTCGCTTCGTCTTGATATTTATAGATATCATCAGAAGCGTGTCTTTGAATGAAGGGGAAATAAATCAACTCAAAATCGAAAAGGTGTGACCCAATATAGGTCCTGTATACTTTGAGGTGATTAGTGGTGGTTTTTCGCGGACGGCACTGAGAGTTATTAGGTTTTTATCCTCAAGTACTTGTCTTTCGCCTTTCTTAAAGTGAATCTCAAAGAGGTTAGCTGAGTCTTCGAAGCTGAAGAGGATGGTAAAAAATAGTAAAAAATAGTAAAAAATAGTAAATACTCAATTAATTTGGTGAATAATTTGCTGATTTCTCATTATTCCTAAAATTGAGGGACTACTGCTCGCTTTGATATACTCGCCTCACGAAGTATTGATAGTACTTAGAAACAAGGCGGTTGGGAGTTAACAATTGCACTCGCATGTGTATATCCCGACGGATTTAGCCGCATCAATCTTTAACATTGTCACGTACCACCTTTGAGATGAGCTATACCCTGCCACTGTGAAATCTTCAGTTTAATCTTCGAGGCAGGGCAGGTAATCCTTGCGCGACACTAGTCCATGTGATTAGACGCCGCCATGAGATGTAAGTGAGAAATTTTTCGGTTGCATTATTGCCGGCACTACGTATGCGCTACTGTAAATAATGTGTCATGAACATCAGACTACTCAATAAACAAAGAAGTTCAGAGATAATCAATTTCATGGGATAGAAGTGCACATCCCTGAGTCATACTATATTGTCATATTATGACACCAACACCGGCGACTGGAATGATTGTTCAGACGGATGAAAACCCATTGGACGAGTCACGTTAGATAACAAGCAGCTGTTGATTTGTAACTGTTAGTATAAAGTCTTACGACCGTAATTCGGTAATTTTGAAGCTTCTATAAGTCACAATACTTCAAAAAACAGCCAACTCATATGGCATGAAGGCGCGACACTTAAGCGCACAGAATTTATTTGTTGAGGGCTTGAACCTGGGACAGTGCTTGAAACAGACTCTCCATGACCTAGTATGACCGCTTCTGACAGTCCATTTCAAACACCAAGGGGCTCCGGTAATCTTATTTGGTTGATAAGCTGTATGTTGTTTGAGGGTGGCATTTTTCTGTCTCATATAAATATCGAATAGAAGAGAGAGTAGAAGAAACTGACTTGGTGTAATGTTATTATTGGATAGTAGGGCTAAGTGGTAGCTCATAATAAAAATATTTGCGGGACAAGGCCTCATCCCTTGCTCGGCAGGTATGATGATTCGTGCTGAATATGAAGCATAGAAAGAGATAAGAAGGAAGTTTTCGTCTAGATATTTTACGTACGGAGATCATTGGCTGTTAGAATGCTTGTGGAAATAATCAAAATGTGTGGACCAAATCAAGAAGAGCTGATAACAATAGCGGTATGAGCGATAAGGCAACGAATAGATTTTCAGTGATATACTCTTCTGTGATGGGTCAGGAAAATGATCTGGCGGTTTGATAGTCTGTAACTCATGCCTTTTCCACTTCGAACTCTGAACTAATCTCTTGATCTAATTGGCTGCTCCAGCCACCCATCAGTTATGGGCCAACACTCATGCTATTACAATAAGCGTCAGCGGAGATGGGAACGACATGAAGCATTTTCGTGGAGTCATTTTTTATTTCGTCGCGGTTTTGATTTCCTGTACTCCGCCTCTTCCGAGTCATCAGATACGATACCACATCTTTCGGATGAGGGCGGAGTCGAGTGGTTCTCATCGTGTGAGATGAATAGATAAGGCAACAGGCCTCACCCTTGTTTCAATAAAGAAAGATATTAGATCGTGATAGCGAAAAGAAGTTTACGAGACTTTGAGGGGGAAAGATACGACGAGGAATTGCTGGCCAGTGCATCTCGTGGCAGAAGAATTTGATGAAGCCTGTTGAATTTGAGTCAGGCAGTGGTTGAAGTTCGAACAGGCCCCAGCAACAGAAATGCCAGCAAGGCGCGTATCAGCCGGTCCAATCAGGTTATGATGTGTGGCTGTTCCCTCTGCCACAGAAGCGGATGGAAGGCCGAGGCTAGGCAGAGGGTGTCTCGCTACATTAAGCCCAGTCGATCAGGGGGGATGGGATGGGCAATATTGTGGCCAGCGGGGGCATGCGTACATGAAAGCGGTCAAGTGACAAGGGATTAAGGCGAGCAAGTGGCTACGGGACGCAGTGTCAGATACCGCCGATGCTGCGACTGGGAAAGAGCGAGATCCGTCTACCACGACATCAATGAACGAATGCGCGAGCGTGGACAACGGGTTCACGGCCGAACGAGCGCCTCTACCCAAGTCGGGACTGGCGTGGATATTGTCTGTAGGTTTGTCAATTAGCTATTGCCAGCAAACTGGGTAGTGTCGCCTTGCTTCAGGTCCCGGTCCCAGTCCAGACCTTGTGGAATGGCTCGACTTGGGGAGGAGCAGGTGTTATTTTAGTAAAAATCACTGGTTGGCCTTTCCTTCCACACCCTCTCGCCCCATCCACCACTACCAGCTATTTTTTCCCTGGTATGTCCCAAAATATTTGTCCCACGCTTTTGCCTTCACACTTTCCACTACCCCCCTTCCCCGCCCGACGCTGCCGCCGCTACATCCATCTGAATAAGCCCAGCCCTCCGATCTATTCTTGTTCCTATTATTAATATTAATATTATTCGTCATCTAGTTGCTACTAATACGCTCCTGTTTCTCCACTCACCTGACCAATATCTATTTTGCTCTCCCCTCGCAAGCGCTGGTGCGTCGAGATCTGTCGCCGTCTTTCCTCTTCCACCTACTCCAGTTAATTAACCATATCCCGCTTCACAGTCACCGCTAATCTCCCTTCTAAGACCTCGTCACCTCTCGAGTCATCAAACAACTTCTCACAACCACCACAACCTCTAGTAATTTATTGAGAACAGCCGATTGAATTCTGTCAACACACGTCGTTGACTTCTCAAGTTGACACGAATACGACAAGCTTGTTCCCTCGATACTACACTTGACAGATTCTCATATCATCGACATTTCCGTTGTCCAGTTTGTTCGTTCATCAGCTAGTGTCTCTTTACGTCGCCCACTGCCGTCATTCGAGAAAAATACAGGCCAGTTCCTGATACGGATCCTCGGATACTCGAAAGTGCTGCACAACAAGAACTGGAACGCGATAATCATACTAGCTGGTAGGGACGAGAGGTCGGTTTGAAAGCCTCTCACTGCCGACGCATGAATTTCTCTCTTAACTGAGAGATTGTCGTACCACCCTCGACTCTCCTCTCCATCCATCTCATCAATCCAAGCACCTATATTTGTCTGTTTATTCGTGTGTACTGGAAAACTTTAAGCTGCCGGTAAACGAAACATCTCACCCTTTACAATCAACTTTACACTCACACACTCTCAAGTACAATCAGCCTAAGCCAGTCACGCGTCTCAGTCTCGATCCTTCACGCTCAAAATAACTTTCTCACTAAACATTTTTCTGATTCCGAAACCTCAAGATTAGCCTAACGATTTTCCTTCTTCTGGGCCTCAGCTCAACTGTAAACTGCTACGAATTCTGTTTGATTTTCTTTTGTCTCAAAAAAACTTTACAATTTTATGAACCCGAAGTCTGCGACGATTCCACATATTTCACACGCAGTACGCGTAAAATCTATCACAAAAAGATTCATCAAAATCCTCTTATAAAGGGCAAAAATATTCGCCTACCTTCATCCTGCGAACCCCACACTTGGATAGGCATTGAAATCCCTGGCCATCAGTAATCTAAAGAAAGTCGTGCTACACTTGGGAAAACTATTTGGACAAACAGTTGCATCAAACCTAGATCCTAAGCCGCCGAGAAAGATCCCCTTTAATTTCATCCGATTCTTCTCTTTTAAATATAGCAGCAATGGACTGCCCAAGAGATTATTTCGACAAAGGTGTGGTCCTTGATGGTCGCTTTGAGACAGTTTCACCCTTAAACCATGGATCCTTCGGTATGGTATTTATGGCCAAAGATTTGCAGACAGATGAAATCGTTGCGATCAAATGTCTTACCAAGAAATCAGCGGTATCTGAAGAAGAGTACTCATACGCCGTTGACGAGCGTTCTGAAGAACTGGAGTGCCACTCACGTCTTGGATGTCATCCAAACATTGTCAACCTGATACATTCCTTCGAAACTGTCTCTCATATTTTCATAGTATTAGAATTCTGCTCACACGGCGATTTGTATGAAGCCATTAGAAACGGTACCGGCCCCTCACAAACGGAGCATGTGCGTCTTCTTATGCTACAACTAGTTGATGCAGTTGCATATATCCACAAAAAAGGCTTGTATCATCGCGATATAAAGCCGGAAAATATATTTCTCACTCAATCTAGACAGCTCAAGCTTGGCGACTTTGGTCTGGCAACTCGAGAAAAATGGACATATGAGACGAATGTGGGTAGTGATAGATACATGGCTCCTGAGCAATATGATTCTGCAGGTGCAGGCTACGCACCTGAAAAAGCGGATTTATGGGCAATTGGAATCTGCCTATTAAATATCCTCTTCTCTCGAAATCCATTCGCTGTACCCACTGAATCTGATCCATTGTTTTTAGATTATTCTCGTGATAGACAGTCTCTATTCGACGTATTCCCTAGTATGACTCAAGACACATTTGAAGTAATCACTCAGTGTATGAGCCTGGATCCTCAAAAGAGATCATTACGAGGTGTGCGGGAGGCTATCGAACGCCTGGTCAGCTTTACTACTATCGATGAATCCTACGACGAATTCCCACTTGTCGAAAGAAACATTATTTCCTGTGCCAATCGTCTTCCTCTCCGGACCCCGTCTATCCAGAGTCCAGAAATCGAAAGTGGTGGCTTCCAATGGGCTAAAGCCTTGCAGGGATCTCTTCCAATGCAATATGGTTACCCTTTTGACGTCTCAGACGAGGATAGCCTCTCAGAAGATCTATTTCCTGGATCCGAAGAAAGTTCTCGAGATTGGTTTTCTATGGGACAGCAAACACCATCGGCTCAATCAACGATTGACTCCTCTTTTGGGACCTCGATCAATTCACTTTCTATACGGCGTGAGAGAATATCGACCCAACACAAAATCTCGCCAGAAAATTGCCCTTTATCGCTACCCATTGATATGCTCAAGCTTTCACCCCCTGGTAGCAATCTCAACAGCTCTAAGGTTATGTCCAAAAGCTGGAACGACTTGTGGGAAGAAGAGGAGGAAGAGGAGGCTGCAAGGAAAATTAAACTGCGACAAATCCAGAACTCGCGAACATGGAGTCATGAGAGTGAACTTGAAGTTCGCTCACCACAGAAGCACTGCCCTGTAGATCAGCTCAGAATTAGAGATCCTTCAAAAAGTGATGCATTTCTTGAGGAGAAAAGAACGGATATCGACGGAGATTCGATTGCCGACGGTTTCTTTTTTCAGGATATTCCTAGCGATTACACGGCCCCACAATTATCTCCTCGATATTCACCTCCGTACAAACGTAACGACTCAGACAAGTGGCTAGCCCTTGGAGAACGTCGTCGGGCCCATCCCGGATCACAAGAATCTGGAAATGGGTTCGAGTTGTCAAAGAAGTATATTCCTAAAGCTATAAATGGGATAAATGTCCCTGCTGGAGCAAGAACACTTGACTGGAATCATAAAACGAACTTCATCAAAGAATTTGTACAAAAGAATCGGCCAAAAGCTATCCTCCGAAAAATGGATAGGGTACGGGATCACATTCACGACGGAGCAAGATTTCGCGGGAATTCCCAGGAATTGGAGTGGGTTGGAGGATGGACCGACCTCCACTTGTAGTTTTAGCTGTATTATCTTGGCCCAATGTTGTGACCCGAACGTGGAATACGGTGAACCTTATCGAATCTACCATGCTTGGAAACAGATAGCACGATGAAAGGGCGAAAAGATACTTGCTTGGACTCGCTTTTCTGTGTATTTAGATATCTTCGGACTCCAAAATACCAGATCATTACCCACTCTAAACACACTGCCATGACTTGAACTAAACAAGGGTCTAGATTTCTACCAGTATTTCATTTGGTCAAATTCGCCATGCTTGAATTGTCTCGTATTTACAGCCGACCCTGCGGTGCTGAGTAGTCTAATAACGGTCTGACAGCGAATAGGCCATTTCAACGGCGTCTCTCCCCTAGCAAGCCCCGATACTACGCACAGCACCTCGAACTTACCCTCCCATTCATCATATGTGTAAAGTGATCTCAAACCTGTGAGTCCCCACTACATTTCGACTACGTAGATGGAATCCACTCGCTGGGTCATAAATTTTAACGTCCGTCCTGTCCTCGTGTGAGGGGAGCAAGGATAAGACTACACGTATTGACGGTATTGTATATTTTGTAACGCTTGGATAAGCTGCCAGGTGAAGGAATGAATACGAAGAATCCCCTTGCGTATGTATTGTCGCGGACACGCAAAGTTTAGCTAAGATGGGACTTCTCCATTAAGATCAGAAGTTTGGGTTGTTAGAATAGTGATGGTGGGTAGGCTTGAGCCTTGGCCATCAAGATTAGTGTAGAACCCAACGTGCGTATTTTGAACTTGGCAAGCACGGAAGCCTCTGGCCGTCCGTGTGCGGCGGAGGCATGACTGACCCGATCACATCCGGCCTGGCTAGTAGTGTAATTTAAGCGCTTGCCACCACTAAGGACTAGCTAGGCTCCGGCATCTTCGGGAAGGCCAAGCTGCATCATTGTATGATTAGAGGCGGATGGAAATATGAGCAGGTGGGGAGCTGCAGGCTTTGAGGCCCCGATCCCCTTGCAGGCCCATTTTTCATGCAGCAGCGGCCCTGAGTCTGTAGCGGCTCGAGGCCATTTCTAATCTGGTCGGGGGCTCGCCAAACGCCTTCTGGCGGTCGTGGAGTCTGATTCGTCGAGGCTCGGCTCCCGGAGCTAGGATGCCCATGTACTCCAGGCAGCCCAGATGAGCTCACGCGCTTTGCGCCTGCACCGATCTGGGTACGCTGTGGTGCGCGCGGACCATATGTCCCAAATGCGACGTACGAGCCACGGCGGGCCAGAGTGGAGAGCATCAACGTTGTATCTTTTAGCCGTCAGCGGGGGACATAGTTGCGACCAAGGACGTTGGTAGCGTATCTGGCTCGCCCTAAGCTTGTTGACCGTCTGGACTGGCCTCAAGCGACATGCTCATTTACAACCGAGAAGCCGAGTCGAGGCCTGAGGGCAGCTGAGTCTTAGTGAAGTCTAACGGCTGGTTTGGGACGTGATGATGTGACGCTCCCGGATATGGTGGCCACCGACGCACGGGCGTCCCCCGGAATTTCCTCGACTGGTTGAGACGCTCGCGCAGCAAGCTTTCCCCCCGATCGCTTCGACCCACTATAACATTAGTCAGCAGCCCCGCCCCCAATCTCCCGACGCACTCCACAATGAGAGAATATGCACACAGACATAGCCATCAATTCACTGGCCACCCCCCCTTCCTTACCGACGTGTCAGTCCAGGCGTCTTGTGACTGACACGACCTAGCCGTCCCGGTGTCCAGGAACGAGACCGAAGGCCGACCGGTGCACCCTTGCTTGGCAAGACATTGGCGGCCTGCAGACCCACATCTGAACGTCTTGCATCAGCGAGTGATCTCGGCACGCCTCCATGTCCTGACGAGAAGATTACGAAAAAATCCTAACGGAACTAAAGTCGACCGGCATGACTTGGATGAACGAGGGGTTCGTGGTGGGTCTCATCTGACGTTCCCTCCCTTCCGTGGGACGAAACTTCAAGGCCGAGTGTCGGGGCGCTGCAAACTTCATGCTAACAGAGTCAGCTCCACCGGGTACACGCCGGCACGCGAGCCGCAATGGGCATCGTCAGCGGAAATCACAACATGATGAGTGCGCCCGCTCGCGCCATTTCCGCCCCGGTCCATACTCACCATCACTCTCTCTAGGGATCTCGGTCACTGGAGTCTTGAATAAATCAACCTTACCATGCTTCGAGCTTCAAACTATCAATATTAATCTTCCCATTTATCTTCCTACGCCTCACACATCGCCCACATGCAGATATACGACTCAAGCAAAGCACACTCGATCTAAACAGCATCGTCCCTCGAAGAAATATTACCGCGCGACTCTCAGACAATAGTCTAGAGAAGTCTTAGTCGAGTGCGAGTTACGGAAAAAACCAACAATCCCTCCCCGAGAATGACCCTTCCCTGCCTCCACGCTTTTCCTCGGGCCTGTTCTCGACAGAAACTGTTTTTTGGAAGTATAATTTCTAGTTATACTCTCGGCAGCGCTAGGAGACCTTTCGAGTGAAGCCTGCAGCGTCAGAAACTAACTTTGATCCGCCCCAGCACCTACCAACAGTTTTTCATACAGCTAGACGATAAAAATTTATGACAAGGCCCTTGTCCGGATAACTTTCGTGAAATATCGGTTCGACAGGTCAAAGCTACAGCTGTGTACATGATTCCTGTCCATGCTGATCGCAAATGCCTCTTGTTGACAGTGGAAGATAAGAAAAGCGCGAGATCACCCTGGAAATCTTAAAGCCCTGAGTCAGACTTGATGCGACTTCGAATCTTGCGATGGTTTGGATCTTAGAAGTGTCATTGACACTAAAAAAGTTTCTCGCTAACAACATTATCACGGAAAAATTAGTAGCCAAAAACAACTTGGATTATTATCTCGACTAGCTTCTCAGTTGGTTCACATAGAACTGCAGTTCTTGAAACACCCTGATTGTCGTTGATTGCCTTTTTCTCTAAAGAATTGGTGTACAAATCCGGCTTTCGAATCTTCGGAGGGTAGAGCCTGGCTATTGGATTTGAATCTCATACATCTATGCAGAAATCTAGAAGCTATTAAGATTTCACAACATTAGCCGTTTTTTCTTGCAATAGCTTACGAGCACTCTTTCTCTACAATTCCTATATTCTTGGATCTGAGGTACTCTGAAAATTCTACAATAGTGGAAGATCCCTATGTCACACAGCTGAAATTGTCTAGCCAGATCAAAGCGTATCGACCGAGTCATCGAAGGAGTTTTGGTAATAATTCGATATGCCACTGTATCCTATTTTGCCGTCGTAGTGCGAAAAAATACTTCCGCACACGCCCCAGACAAGGACTTTAAGGTAATGGAATATTGTTGATCTGGATATTAGGCACTGGAGAATAATTACAAAAAGTGACAGACTAAGACCCAGTTAACAGAATGGATTCTATTTGAGAGGAAATCCATACACTCGTCACGAGGCTTTAGCCACGGTTGAGGAAAATTGTTATTTGGAAGATGTGATGGGAATGAAGATGTGCTAGAAATACGTTTGCCGGAGCCAAGCAAGAAATATTCACCTGTTTTGGATGTGTTTTATTTTCTAATGGCCCTGCATAACGGTATCTGGTATTATTTTGATGACTTTAAAATCATGAAGTATTACACCAAGTTATTCTGTTGGGATTGTACAGGCTAGGTGTGAAAAGAATAAAGTTACAGATTTCCGGAAGCTTTTAGATTTGATTTACATTAAAGTCCTAACTAAGTCAATGACTACAGAGGACTCCTAGAATCTATACATAAGATACTAGGTACATTTTTGAAGTTCAAATTGTTTAACTTTAAACTTTGCTATCATGGACAGTGAGGAACAAGCGCTAGAGTAATAGATGCTTTTCTTTCCTCACGTTTGGTTAAGAGTCTTGTGAATTATAATAACGAGTTGAGCTCTAATTTGACTCGAATTTGTCATCTCCTAGCCCGCGCTCTCTTCACTCTCTCACATAGCTTAATATTATCTGCCGTACTCTTTGGTAATGATTCACGCGATGCGAATGAATTGGGTCTATATATATTGAATCCTGCCGGCTCCACCGGTTCAAAACCCACTAGCAACTTAGTTTTTGAGTGTGGTTCATTGGCTCCAAACATGGAAAAAGTTAAACCCTCTGCAGAGTATCTGCCACGAACATAGAGATGAAGTTTTTCGTCGGAAACAAAATTGATTCTCAAAGCCGCAGAGGAACAATTTCACAATTGCCAAACCTTTCAACGAGCAAATTTGAAAGATTTGTCCTGAAAATTTTTACCTGAGCTCCTAGAAAACTCCATTCTTTTGAATCACTCCGATCCATTCTGATCCGCCTCACTGCCTCATAAAAAAATATTCAATAGCCTGTAAATTCAAATCTTTCTTTTCAAGCTTTCGCTAGGAAAATTTGAAAATAGCCCTTCTCGTCCGCTAATCAAATCGAAAAGATTTGTAAGAATATATCACAGGGCCCTTTCGCGGTCCCTAAGTATATCTATCCCGAATTCCTACACTGAAGCTTGATACCACAGAATGTGTCGCAATCTGCAAGTGTGTGCCAAGTCGGTTCATGAGAATTATTACTCTTTCTGTCTGTTGACAGGAACCTCGCATCGCCATTGTCCGTCTGTGGAGAGGTCAGCAGCGAGATTTTAGGTGGAAAGGTGATTAAGTTGTAAAAATGGAACACCTGAGGCGGTTATTGGCGAGAGTCTAACCCAAGACTTTAGTCGTAGATTTGGTTCGGATGCAATGATACTTCTCAAGTTGACAAGCTGACGTGTGTATTTCTTGCATCACTATCAAAAATAATTGTGTCTATATCAATACCGCACTCTGGCACCATGCTTAGGCCGTGGAATTTGTCATCAGTAATCATGAAAGTTACCATCAAATCATTTTTAAATGTGCCGAGTTACATATTGACGAGAAAGCTGAATGGAGGGCAAGACTGAACACCTGTACGCGGTGTTCTCTACGAACCTGAGAGTGAAATATTCTCCCAGAGCCAAGTTCAGTCAAACTTCGCAATATCAATCAAGTTGGCCTACGGGGCAAAATTTCAAATTACTCCACCATATCAATCTTTCACTCCCAAAGAGTCCGATTCTCAACTAAGCTTCATCAAGTCTACAAGTACGACCTAGTACATCCTCGTTTCAATGACCACACCTCTCGTCGACTTTCTCTGGCCTCAGCCGGTCACCAAATACACGCCCACGCCGATATTTACACCCGACGGAGGAAGCAAAGCGTGGAGCACAATTTTGGGAGATAGCTCTTTGGGACGGACGTGAGAGGGATCAGGACAAGTTTACAAGATGATGCAGAAGAGGGATACATTCTCGACGGGCGTGAAATTTCGAATTTTGGCCAGAGTTTTACGAATTGAGCTTTGTGCGCGCCAAGACTTCGCTTGCGAGAGTGCAGCTGACACTATAAAAACAAGCAAACGATGGAAGGTGTAGTGGTTCGCCTCCTGGGGATGTTCTCTGGTATAGTTTGAGTAGCCTGGGCACCTACTCCACTGGGGAAGGAGACATTTCAGATTACATTTCGCGCGGAGAAAAGTTGATGGATGACAGAGGCATGTCTGAATAACTCAGGGTTTTTGAGACGTTCCCCTGGGTGGGTATTCACGGATGAGGGTTGACTTGGGGTGAAGAAAAAGCCACCATAACTTCGCAGTGGTACTTGCAAATGAAATCCGAGGCATGAGTGCTCTTCTAGTAAATGAGTCATCTATTATACACTTCTCTGATACTGTGTCATAGCTGCATGCGCAATTAAAATCTGATGCAAAAAAAAAGAAAAAGAAAATAAGGGTAAGGGAAAGTTATCCCCTTCGCTCGAGCCCAATGCCATTGATTCCTAGCTCAGAAGCAGAGATATATACTGTCATTGCCTTCATAATAGAGTCGCAGAGTCAACTTTTGGTCTTTCTTCACTTCGATGAGAATTTCCAATTACTTTCGCCGTCTGCATCGTCTTGATCCCTCTACAAATTCTCCGAGCGCCATTATCATGAAGCTAACCACGATCAGATCAGATAGTAGATTGGATCAAGTCGGCCTCGACTATTACAAAGAAGGGAGAGGTAGATGAATATGCGCTCCTCATGTGGTCCCAGTGTCTAGGCCTCGCCTGGCTGGGACTGCAGGTTTTATGAGACTTTTTCCCGCGCACGCAGTTTCCATTGCTACCATTTTTATTTTCTTTGGGTAGAAGGTTCCGTGGAAAAGATGGCTGAATTCCACGGATAAATACTGAGCTGAATGGCTATTCATGAAGGGGAATATATCAATGATCTTGTAAGTAACAAAAGAGGAAAGGAGCACTGTACAAGGTGTGGCCTGGATCAGGAAGGAGCCCAATGTGCTAAATAGTCATAGACTCAAGTAGCACAACAAAAACTTATAAAAGAACACTTGGTCCGTTTTCCGATGCGGTATCTCGGAGATACTTCTAGTTTTGATGCCTAGATAAGCCCTCGGATGCTGGCAGAGACGAATTCATCACCCTCCGCTGGTGCCGGTGTAATCGCTAAGGTTGCTCTGCATATCTAGGATAGCCAAGAAGAATCACATCCGAATCGAAGTCGAAATAAAACAGAGACACATCTACAATCAGCGACTTCTCATCAGTGTCGGTCTTCTCATTCTCACGAGAGTCCTCTACCTTAACCTCTCCACACACCACCTCGCCTCAACGACCAATAAAGGCGTTTCTCCAATTACAAACAGGAGCTTGCCTCATTTGTTGCCGAGCATCACTCACTGCAAATTTACGACGCTACGTATACCCGCAAGGAGGAAGTTAAGTCATAATATACAAAACTCTGATCATGGTTTATGCGGGACTGTTACTCTAATGGGGCTACACATCTTGAGGAAGGACGGGCGACTGGGGCGTGGAAAGATATTAGGCAGAGACTTCCTGTGGGAATGATAGGCCTAATACTTTTGAGAGGTTTTCAACTTTGGATGTTTTGTGGGCGCCATGACGAAGATTTCGGCTAATTAGCCAGGACTTCAATTGTCGATGATTTCGTGGCACTTCACAGGGCCCTGGACGGTACAAAAGAAGTTTGGCTAAGCTACCGTACAGCAAACACGCTCTATCAAGACTTTTCTGACATTTCAGCAAGACCTTCGGGAAGGAGTTGGAAGGAGGCTAGAAAGATAGAGGGTGAATTTCCCGAGGTACACACAAGTCTGCAGCGCCCAGCTGGCCGGCCTCTACGAATGCTTCCAACGCTTCAGAAGGATCACTATGTCTTCGGGTTTAGTCCTAATGTTGGTATCAGAAAAGCTCCACACCCAGTAGTTTTTGCGATTTTTCCCGGCTGCCATACACCCGCAAATGGCCACCGTTTCGTTGGCTGGAGATGGGAGATAACGAAGGGCAAAGGGCTCCTCTAAGTGTATGATCGAACGAGGACTTGTGAGGGGTGATACTGTTTGATGGGAGCTGTAAGGGAGGCATAGGAGGAGATATACTACTGGGATAGGTATATTTGGCCCACAGGCAAAGAGATCCCGTAAGTTCTGCATAGTCAAAGAGTCAGACTGGACAATGAAATGAAGTAATAATAATACAGCAAATAACTGAAATACGAAATTAGAAGAGATAACTATCAAGTAAAACTTCATCAGCTGACCTTTTTTTCCGTGACATTCAGTCGGAATCTATTTAAATTATTGGGGGCCCCGTAGCTATTCTTACATTTGTCAAGTGGTATTTATCATTGAAAGCGATTACGGACACGACCATTGCTACAAAAACTGAATGCCTATCGTCAGTGTCGGAGCACTTGCTCCGGTAGGCCTGGGGTTAGGATTCATGCCTTAGGCACACAAGTAGACTCAGATTTTATCAACGCTTCAGGGGCGCCCACACACATAGATCCATATCCCTATATATAGTTTTTTTTACCTGATTTGGCGCCTTGAGGCCCATGCAGGTTTTTATCGGAAGATATGTACTTAAGTCGGATGATTCAATTTGACATTCAGAACACTGACACCCAGATTTCATTTGCAGATACCACTCGGGTCAACCCTTACGGCGTATAACTTCTTCCGTGCATACCCAACACAGGGAAAAGCGTGAAAACCCCATGGCTATCCGAGTGTGCTTTCATCATCCCGCAAGTATAATATCATCGCGAGAGAGAGTGATGCGTGGGTCTGACTGAATTCCAACCAGCTTTCTCCTGTCTCGAATGGGGTAGGTGTGCAAGCTAACCAGTATCTACTTGGGAGTACGGCCCGGATGGTGTACCACTGCACCATCCAACCCTAAAAATCCATGAACATGTACATCTTATTCAGTCACCTCTTCTGCAATAGTAAATCAATTCTCATTACTTGTGATATCATAGAGATTGACCCTGTCATACTAACAGTTAGTCTCAACAAAACTTAGCATGAGATATTCCCTTAGATGCAGATCCAGTCGATCCGAGGATGATGATGATTAATTTATCGTGCCAGGCTTACACCCTCCATCCAATGGACATGACACGCATGGAGGACATCTAGAATACAAGTTCCTCCATTCTCCAGCAAAGCCCATCCGGTGCCTGACTTTTCCAAATACGTGCCTCACGCAAGTTACATCGGGTCGAATAGGTAGGAACGCATTCACCATGATCCTAAGACCATGTATTGAGGGAAAACCTTCGTTGGCAAACCTCAATAATTCCTCTCGTACTCTTTCATGACAAGCAGCCGTAGTCCCCCCTTAAACAGGCCGTGTAGGAATCCAACCTACCACTTCTAGAGAGCACATCCAGAGCCCGACCAACTGTGCCAATAGCCTGTTGAAAATCGCATATCGTTCTTCCCAAATTCTCCCCTGCATTGCGCTCAACCCCCATTTGAGAGGGCTGAAATTCCGAAATCGAGAGCTTAAAACCGAGGCATCGGTGCCCTAGCTTTTGTCGTACATTGTTCGTTGTCTGAGTGAGGCTTCTTCGTTCGGGCCGTCTTTGGAATGTGTCGAAAAGTTGAGAATTTTGATGTCGCGGTCGAGGTGCTTGTCTAAAATGAGGCCGAGCAATTGCCCAGTCCTGCACACAATGTTAGTAAGGTTGAAAGCGAAAGGAATTTTACTTTTGATTTTGGAGAGTTGTTGGTGATTCGTAAAGTCCTCCCAGTCAAACTCAATCAGGAAGTTGTTAGAAGACTGAATAGAAGAAACCCAAACTTAAACTTTTGATCTATCGTGCCGGGAACGGAACCTAGCCCATGTGTCAATCGAAATCGACTGGGCCACGTTCAGCAAGCTGCCGTTGCGAAGGATGCGATTCTTCTTGGCTATTCCAGATATGCAGAGCATACTGAGCGATTACACCGGCACCACTCAGTCGATCCGAGGACTTCATTATTATTTCATTTTAATGTCCTGTCTGAGTCTCTGACTATGCAGGACATACAGGATTTCTTTGCCTACAGGCCAAATATACCTATGCCTCCCTTACAGCTCCCATCAAACAGTATCACCCCTCACAAGTCCTCGTTCGATCATACACTTAGAGGAGCCCTTTGCCCTTCGTTATCTCCCATCTCCAGCCAACGAAACGGTGGCCATTTGCGGGTGTATGGCAGCCGGGAAAAATCGCAAAAACTACTGGGTGTGGAGCTCTTCTGATACCGACATTAGGACTAAATCCGAAGACATAGTGATCCTTTTGAAGCGTCCGAAGATGTCTAGTCATGTGCTATAAATAGTATGATTTGCTGTGTTTGGAGGCGCTGAAACGCGATTACAGGGTACATCTGTCTAGGCTCCTTGAGAATCTGATAGATATAGGCTCTTGCAGCGCTATCAGACTAGAGAGGAAAGGATATGATGGTTGGCTGATCACGGCAGGCGCGAACTTTCCGGATAGTAGTTCATGGGACACTTCAAAGTGTGAATCATATAACAGACTAGAACATGAATCAAGTTGCCTATTCAGCCGCCCTTATCTCAGGGAGTTTATATCACGCGACCTGGCACAAAGATAAAATCTGCCTCTGCACCGTCAACACATCTCCCGAAACAAATGAAGGCCACCCACCTCAGTCCAGAGCAGGTATTGATATTCGTTCTATGCAATAGGAGCCTAGAACTTGGTGACGCATCACGCATCACGCAACTCGCAACACAGAATTGTAGAGGCCAGAACTGAGCTTCAGTACCAGCATTCAGTCAAACGCTATCTAAGGGATGCCGTTGTTCCGACCCAAATATCTTCCGCTCTCACCTATCAGCGATTGATTTCAAGCTTCTTGAGATCTATCTCTTTTCTACGTGGCAATCAAACCCAGGCTTATTCATAGCTTTAACTCAAGGTCGAATCTGGTAATGGCGATTCTAGCCTTTAATCTCAACCCAGAGTCAATAAGCAAACTTCATGATGCCCTTCTCTGCCTCGGCAAATTTAGTGATTCAGTATCCCTCGAAGCATCTCACGACAAGGTCTCTTCAACTATTTGATATTACCTTTCAACTGCTAACTCATCACGTAGCTCATTCTAACAGCTCTTAATTCAACCAAGTCTGCTTACGCATCCTTTACACTTGATGCCAATAAGTTCTTCAGCAAGTACGACTACAACCCGGCAAGACCCGGAAAAGCGACCTGCGATAAGTTTGTTTTCCGAATCTACAACAAGGTTCTAATAAGATTTTAATTTTATCAAACGGGGCTCACGAAGTACAATAGGCTCTTTTGTCCGTTTTTAGAGGTCGAGCATGTGAGCTAAATCGAGAAAGAGATACAGCTGTAGATCGGTGTGAAGCATTTATCGAGCATGGTGATGGTATTTCTAAAAGTCGTTTTACTATTAGAATTGTTTGCAAGCATGGTAAATAAACATATTAGGACTATGGAACCCCGAATAATTTTCATAGGCGTCAACAAAACTTACAGACTGACGTTCGAGTCGGTCCCGTCAATGCATGCTCTTTTTATCAAAGAAAAAGCCCATAATCACTGGTCAATGTCTTCCAAAGCCCTGAGAGAGTTTTCTGAACATTTTGGCCCAGGGACAGAGCAGCTTGACATTTACCTCGAGGGCGGACGACTCAACTTCACCAGTTTCACGGAAAAAGTGATGCTAGGGAGCGGTTCGCTGTGAAACTCTAGGATTTTGTGATAAACTAACTGAACACAGAGATACTAAAACAGCCACTACATACAACAATCGCTGTAGATACCCTAGAGTTTTGCGAGCTCGATATTGAAGAAATGCTTCACATTACCATCAGTGTTAAGGATTTCAAGGCGATAGTCGTGCACTCGGGACTCAATAACCTCGTCACAAATGTTTTTTACTCATATCCTTCATGTCCTATGCAAATATCATATCATGATGATGGGGTCTGGTCAGAGTTTATTCTCATGACGACGGCAGAGGCGAGAGTTACTCCTGCCTCACAGGTGCCAAACTTGGATCCTGAGCCCAAGCCAGTCATTTCAAAACTTCCCGAGGAAGTTAAATCGAACTCGAAAAGGTCCACGCAAATCTTAACGCCATCTCTCAATAAGACTGCAAGAGTTGATGGACAGCGGTCTGTTCATGATGTAAATCTTGACCCTTATTTTCCGGCCCCCCTGCCTAGCACCCAGTCTGAATCCCTTTTTATTCCTCGAGCCAATGATGAGTGTGACGATCAGATCTGGAATCCGATAAATTACGACGAGGAAGACTCTGAGATGCTGATGTGGGATGACGGAAAAAAAGTAAGCAAAGCATTGACATTGGAATTCGCTTTTTAACCTGACTAGAATACTTCTAAACCTGATCTTGTACATATGTTCAATGACTTTGCTGGTCAAGATATATCTACAGAAAAAAATTCCAGCGGGATAAATGATGACAAATTGTCTAGTAATGATTTACTACTAGGTTTACCACCAACACAAAAGTTGTCACAGGTAGGCTTAAATATTAATATCCGCAGTATATTATTTATAATCTAACCAAAGCAGATTCGTAACCTTGGAATCTTTGACCAAAATGAATTGATTTAGTTTCAAAGTTTGTAATCTGATTCTAGATCCCCGGAATAGATACACAAAACAAAACCTTGTAGTTTACTTATTCTATAAAATGTGAAAGGTCAATTAGAGAAATTCATATCAAGTAACTTCAATACAAATCCAACTTGTTGCGCATCCAGCGCCAATACTGGCGATTCTGCTGCCTGGATTCAAATTCCGGGAGGCTGCAATAACATTCCACCCTCTTTCGACTGCATTTTCTGATGTAACTGGACCACAATTTCCATGCTCTCCCCAGCCCCACGCTAGGACATTTCCATCTACAGTGAGCCCCAGAGAATGTTCACTGCCAACAGCTATTTGTTCGAGCGGCGGTAGACTAAGACTTGATAATTGACGATTGCTGTCTCTTCCCCATGAAACAAGACTACCGTCTAGATTCAAGACATGAATACTTCCCCAGCCTGCTCCAACATCTTTCCACCCTCTTAAGTCTGGCGGGCCCAGCGTAGCTAATCCCCATCTATCAGATCCAAGGATGATGTATCGGCCATTTTTTTGATCACCAAGAAGGCAGGTGAAATCTCGCCCACAAACTGCATGTACAATGTTGAAGTTGAGGCCAGTTATCTTTCGTGGTTCGTAGACAACTTTTTCCGGACGGCCTAACTGACCTTTCCGACCATTCCCCCACCCATAGACATCACCATTACTGAGTACAGCAATAAAGTGGCAGACTGATCCTGCAACATGTTTTACTTCAAGTCCTTGTGGTGGGAAGTTTTTTATCAAGTGTATCTTGGATCGAAATATTAGCTCTCCTTGACCAAGTTCTCCTTTATTACCAGTACCAAATGTGTAGAGCTTATTGGAAATACCTTGCTCGTCTTTTTGCACGATTATTGTTGCTTCCCACGAGGCTGCACAAAGAGTGACGGGACGAGTTTGTTCTGGTAGGCGTACCAGATGAAATTTGCAATCGGCTGTGTCCGTTCCCGTATCGCCGCAGGCACCAGTTCTGGCATCGCCACAACTATAAAGCGCGCCAGATGCAAGTGCAAGGGTGTGATTCCCTCCTGAGATAATTAGAGGTGATTCTTCGAGACTCCCATCGTGAAATAGAGTCTCTTTTGGTACAGAAACATCGTGCGTGTGTCCAATAGCCAGCTTGCCTGATCCATTTGATCCAAGCGAGTAGAGCTGAATCATTATCAAAAAACTCTGAGGATCTGAGTAATACGTGGCGGTTGTAATGGGAGTAAATCTTACGATTAATATCCTTGCTTGAAAATATGTTCTTTAGTCACACGTGACCTATGTCCTTACACTGACGGCCCTGATGACAGGACTCCGCTAACTACATTATTCTACAACCCATATCCTTACGCAATCCAACATATCTCGGGCTATAGCTTCAGTAGAGGGATTTATACCTTTGATAGCTGCGTGCGTAACACACACTTTTTTTAACTTTTTCTTACGCTTGCTTATAACTACCACCTGTAAATTATGGGGTCCGGCAAGAGGCTGACATTCATATATTTTTGAATCTTCGAGTGCAGGATGATTAGATCCTGGCCTTCTGTTGCTAAGTTGGGTCTGTGTAGGCGCCAACTCGGTTTGTTTTCTTTCTTCATTTTATTGTTCTGTCTAAGTCTATGATTATGTATAACATGTTGGTCCTCTCTGCCTACAGGCCAAGGATACCTATGCCAGTAGTATATCTCCTCCTATGGCTCCCACACAGCTCCCCTCAAACAGTACCACCCCTCACGAGTCTTCGTTCGATCATAAACTTACAGGAGTTCTTTGCCCTTCATTATCTCCCATCTCCAGCCAACGAAACGATGGCCATTTGCGGGTGTATGATAGCCGAGAAAAATCGCAAAAACCACTGGGTGCGGAGCTCTCCTAAAACCAAAATTAGGACTAAATCCGAAGACACAGTGATCCTTCTGAAGCGTTCGAAGCTTTCGTAGAGGCCGGCCAGTTGGGCGCTGTAGACTTGTGTGTACCTCGGGAAATTCACCCTCTATCTTTCTAGCCTCCTTCCAACTCCTTCCCGAAGGTCTTGCTGAAATGTCAGAAAAGTCTTGATAGAGCGTGTTTGCTGTACGGTAGCTTAGCCAAACTTCTTTTGTACCGTCCAGGGCCCTGTGGAGTGCCACGAAATCATCGAAAATTAAAGTCCTCCTGGCTAGTTTGTTGAAATTTGGGTCTTGGCGCCCACAGACGTTCCATCTCGTCGGGTAGTATGATTTAGACTGGATTAAGCGGTATGCGTTTCATGAATTGATTTTGATTGGATTTAACGTCGTGCCTATCCGCAGCTCGTGCCTACTGTCACAAGTATGTGTTTCATGCAGAAGAAAATATAATAGGCAAGTGAAGAGCTTACGTGCTATGCGCGGACACGATATTAATCAATATAAATAAATATGACGATGTGGATAAGGATAAGACGTAATTCACACTGTATAAACAGTGTAAACGCACTTCCTGTAGGAAACATCAGAAAACCAATAGACACAAGACAGACAGTTTAGGGGGTTTTTACTGAAATTGGTTTCCTCCAGTGCAAATATTATAGCGAGATTTACCTGCATGGGCCCATAGGGTACCTGGACGGGTTAAATGAAATGAAATCAAATCAAATCAAATCAAATATAAATAAATAAATATATTCCAAGTCGCGTCGCCAGCGACTAAAGCGGCTGTACGAATACGTATACAAGGAGCAGAAAATATGGAGCCGGCAGCGCTCCTAGACAAGGCTAAAATACACATCGAGGGGGCGTACGCAGTAAGGAAGCTGCGGAGCAACGATACGGAGGTGTTCGTGCAGTCGGTCTCCCAGCGATACGCGGCCTTGAGTATGGCGCAGCCAAAGGAGTTCTGCGTCTTGAAGCCGGATTATCCTGTTGATATTTTGGGGATCCCATTGGAGACATTTATAAGAGGAAAAAATCCTAATAACAGCGAGTTGATAAATCAAGTTGAGGTAGAAACAAAAGTTCGGATCCCCGAACTAAAAATCAACAGGGTGAGATGGCTCTTCGACGGAAAGGAGCACTGATGGATGGGTACTAACGGCTATACTCGATGGTCAATCGTCGCGAGTCTACCGATAGAGGCACTTCAACGCGAAGTGATAAGAAACGGCATGGTATACAACTCAATGCTGTACACGGCCCAGCTCTGGTCACCCCGAGCTCAAATCAAGCAGTGCTTCAACTGCTGTCAATGGGGGTATACCCAAGCCTCGTGCAATAGGGTAAGGAGATGTGGTGAGTGCGCGGGCACCTATCAGACCAAGGAATGCCCGAGGAAGTCGGTGCTTTGCTACAACTGCGGCAAGGACCATAAATCGTGGCAGAAGGGGGCGTGTCAAAACTTCGCGTCATACAAGGCCAGCGTGCAATGGGCACGGTATGAACTCATGGAGAGAACGGCGGAATTCAGGAAAGGTGAAACATCAACAACAGCATCTACTACAACAACTACGGCAAAACCTACAGACCACCAAAGGTTCACACTGGTGTCCCACCAATAGCCGGAGGTATTAAATAGAGGGCCAGGACGTCCGCGCAAACAGCTCCTGGTCAACCCACCACCACAAATATTTGGACCATCGGGGTCAAACTCAAGACTACAGTCTTCTCTTTTCGGCACGCGAGGGCAGGGAAAGGATGGCGAGGTCGAGTATAATTTTAGCTAGTCCTGTCTCGGACTGATGGCTAATTGCACTTCCTCTAGGTAACGAAGGACTATATATGAAATAAAATTTAATAGGGGGAGGGGGTTTTTACCGCAAGGTTTCCTCCTCATGTAAATATACAGAAAGGTTCATAGCCGCCTGCATGGACCCATAGGGCGCCAAATTGGGTTACATGAAATCAAAATCAAAATCAAAATATATTCCAAGGACTCGACCAAGATTCCAGCGATTTTCTCCCCTTACCAACTGGACTATTTGGCCACGAGTGATGACTTGCATTTGCAAAGAGCAAGGTATATCCCCCTTCTAGCCAGCTATTTTTTTTTAATCATTTTAGTGTATTCAGCTATCTAGCTATGACACATGAACGGTGCTATTTATACATGTTGGATGACTCTTTTGACGTTAGAGACACTCATACTCTGGATTTCATTCGCAAATACCACAATGAGGTATGTTCGCTTACACAAACAGTCGACCCTCCTCCGTTAGTACCCACCAAAGGGACGTTTCGAACCTTTGGCTATCCAAGCATGCCTTCGTCCTCCATCCATACCAGCGCCGCGAGAAAAGTAGCTGTGTTTTGCTAGATTTGAACCAGCGATCTACTGTCTCAAGTGCGATATGTGTCCAAGCTCTCCAGACTCTACTTGGCAGACTGGCCGACACGATGTACCACCGCACCATCCAACCATGGCGGTGTTTATAGAGTCGCCTGCATTTTCACAACCGAAGACTTGGCACGCACAAAGCTCAATTTGTAAAAACTCCTTGCCAAAATTCAAAATTCTACGCCCGTCGAGACTGTATCCATCCGTCGCATCATCTTGTTAACTTGTTCTGAATCCTCTCACGCCAATCCCAAAGAACAGTCTCCCAGATTTGTGCGCCACACTTTGCTTCCTCCGTCGGGTATAAATATTGGCGTGGGCGTGTATTTGGTGGTCAACTGAGGCCAGAGAAGGTCGAGGAGTGGTGTGGTCATGGTGTTGTGCTGGTGATGGCTAGGATTACAATGCACAAGGGTAATGATCACTGAGGGTGAAGGAAGAACTTTCCAGGTGGCTCCATGATGAGTAGAGGAACAATGGAGCACTGTATAGAAAGTGTTTCTAGATTGTACTGCCAGATGGAGGAGACTAGAATATTCCGTGGTACTATTTTGGGTAAATGAGGCGAGAGTCTAGCTACCTCAGATGTGTATATAATTAGCGCTTTCTATCTCCTACATCCTCATAGTTCTGAATATCGAATATATCAGCAGTTCACATTGATTCATCGATAATCATCCGTAAACCTTCTGCCAATTAACCTCCGTAAGCTCTTACCTTTACAACAACAAGCGAGATGGCTATCTGCAAACGCGATATCAGAGCGTGTTTGGTTGGCGAGATATGAGAGACCTCCAACAATTTGATTGAACTTTGCGGTACGCTCAGCACAAACTGGCTGTGATGAGATCTCCATGCGATGCTCAATTGGGATTGAAACGGGTTTACAGTCGGCAAGACCATATCTGGAGAGAAGTTCGCGCGCATAGCAACCTTGAGAAAGCTCTAGAATTTCACCTTCGTGACTCACATTGATACCGAGGAATTGATCGCGAGAAACAGCTTTAAATTTAAATTTGGGCATGAGAGCTTCTGCAAGTTTTATGATTTGATGGATCTTAGGTCCAAGAATTTGAAAGTCGTCGACATGAAGTAGCACAAATACATCCCTTTTCCTGTTAGTAAATAGGCAAACATCAGACTCAGTAGGTCTGAGTCCAAGTTTTTCAAGCTCAACTTTAACACTTTCATGCCAGAGTGCGGCAGGTTGCTTGAGGCCTGTAACGAAACCAAGCTGGTTGTAGTGTACTTTTAGAAGGATTAAACAATATGAAGAGAGAATTACGACAACTACGGGTAATGACTATTTATACATCCTTCTAGCTCATCCAGTACGTACTCCGTTGGTGAGAATGAGATATCGCTCCGCCACTGCCCGTCGTCATCTTTGCCATCTAGCTTGACTCTCTCACTTGGCAATTCTGCTTAGCCGTCTCGCATTCCTTCCTAGCTCAAATGTAGTGTAGCCAAGTGAAACTTAGTCGCTTGATTCAAGATAATATGTAACACTCTCCCTAATACGCCACCAAACTCCGCTTAGGTCTCCACCTAAGCTAAACCACGGTCAAACCGTATCAAGGCCGTAAAGTCCGTTTTCCAGTTTTACCACTTTTTCTTTTCTTTCGAATCCCCGAGGCATCTGTGTATAAAGAACGACGTCAAGTGTGGGATTAATAAAAGCTGTTGGAACATCAACTTGTAATCTGTGCAATCCGAGACGGTGTCCAAGCACTAGAAGAAGCCTTATAGTGTCTGCACGAGGTGTAGGAACAAAGGTGTCGAAGTAATCACGTCCTTTTTGTTGAGCAAAGCTCCTTGCAGTCAATTATGCCTTGTACTTATCCGACAAGCCATCAGCATAAGTCTTGCGTTTAAACCCC